AGGAATAATGTTTTAACTAGTGTCCCATTACTTGTCCTCCATAAATTTTCTAAGCTGACTTTAAAGATGAATTTTAGTAAGAATAAAAAAAGTACAATTTTAAAAATTTCTATAAATGTGAAACTTTCACTTGGGGTGAGATGCTGTGGGAAGCAAGAAATCAGGCTGGGTGGTGCAGTTACAAAACTACAGCCAATAGAGGGGCAAGGTCAGGACATGAGGGAGAAGTAGGGAAAACTTAGGAGGATTTTGATTTTACTTAATTTGTTATGTGTTCATATTGGGTTTGTGTATACTAAATGCTCTGGGGAAAAGACCTGCTATTAAAAATTGGGAACTAGTTTCTGTGGTATGTGTGATATTTAGTGTCCTGCTTTTATATTGACAGAGTAGATATTTTACAGCAACCCTAAGAAAGATTTCAGAATTCATTGTGCTCCCACTGTTGTTCTTCCATTTTTGCGAAATTTTTGTAAAAATTTTGGAAAAGGCACAAATGCATCTTCCTAAAGGAGGATTTTCTGTGCTTTTCAAAAGAAATAGTCATCTTAGCATCTTAAATGCTAAAGGGTTCTTATACTTCAGGAGCTGTGCAGCTGAGCAGTTGCTCAGCAGGAGTGCAAAGTTAAAAAGCAGGAATTACCTCTGTCTTTTTCATGCCTATATGTTTACTCTAGAGCCAAATTAAAAATGGACCCACAGAGTTTCTGGCGAATTCAGAATCACAAAATTGTGTTGAGGTTAGAAGGGACCTGTTGAGATAATGTCCACCTCCCCACTCAAGGTTCTTTTCTTCATTGTGTTTAAATTTCTATGTGAATCTAGGGAAAAAGAAAAATTAACTATCACCATAATTAATGTCTCTCTGCTCTGGCTTCTGAATGTTTAATCTTTGTTTGCTTCATTGTTCTATATGTCCTGCTGCCTTTTGTAAGCTCCATGTCTTAAGGAAAGTACCCAAGCAATGACATAAAATGCAAACAAAAAAGCCTTCACGTTGCACCAGAACAGCTACTATTAGGACAAGATTCTTAGTTCAGTGTGGTCCCTGGAGCTCGGTGTCTTCACAGAACTTCAAATTTCAGGGTGCCTAGCTTGACTGAAAATGACAGTGCTGTTTAGATGCTCTTTTGATGCAGGCTGCGCTTCCTTTGCTCCCCACTTTTTCCATAAGATCCAAGCTGCAGCCATGTTACTGATCCTCTTCATCCCTCAGCCAGGGTACAGTGTAAGACTTCTACTCTCAGGTCTTCTAACTCCTCACCAGCACAAATAGACCCATCCTTTTTTTGTCCTGCTGGATGGGTAAGGCTCTGAATGGACTGGAGCTAATGTGTGTGCTCGTTTTGGCTGGCCAAAAAAGAGGTATGTGTGTTTTTGATTGACTCTGCAGCTGGCAGTTAGACACGCTCTTTGTGGCTGGCATGTCACCAGGTGGCCTTGGGAGTTGCCTGTTGTGTAAGCACTGCCAAAGTACTTCCAAACTTTGCTGCTGCTAGCTAGGCTGAGTGACTGCATCTTGCATTGACAGTTTGGATGTGGAACACTTGATCTTAGAGAAATCAAAACTGTTGGAGTTTCTAAGTATGTAGCTTGATGCAGTGTAGAAGCATAACCTCCTATGCAAAGCAGTGGTTTAGAAAGTATTGAGCTATGGAAAAGGAAAAGCATAATACAAAGAAAAGTTCTGCTTTGTGTTTTGTGTTATGCTTTTCTCATATATCAAAGATGGCAAAGAAACTGTCAGCAGAAGAGAAATTTGAAAGATTTGTAATATCTAATGAATGGGGAAAAAAAACTGCATTGAAACAAGGTTTATAAGATCAAGATACTTTAGGTAACTCGTATGATAACAAGGAAAGAGTCCAGATTAAGATACAGTCTCTCTACAGTAGAGAAAAGCAAATTGCTCTTTGTAAAGCAGTCATGCAAAACTAGACACAAAACAATCTTTATCATACCTCTTTTTTCTATGTGGTAGTACAAATCTGCAAATATTCTTTTAGCTGGATTGCCATGTAGTAAATTAATCATTCTAAATACACTTAATTCTTACTGGTGAAGGATAAATGTCGCTCTTGGGTTTTATATCACCTATAACCTCTTCATGGAAAAATTCTGTACTTTGATGTTACAGAAATTTTAAACAAATAGTTTAGTAAAAAGGATCAACTTAAGATTTTTGCAGTCAAATTGATCCCTAATGCTGGGGAGATGTAAGGCAGCAGTCTGATCACTCCAAACTATTGGAAAGAGCTTGGCTCAGCCTTGGAAGTATTTAGCTCTCCCTGTTGACTTGTGAGGTGGCTGGACTTTGTCTATATGCCAAAAATTAGATTCATTTGGGCTATATGTTCTGTTGTTCACTCTGAATGTTTCTGTATGGTCAAATATGCCATTATCCAAAATGGCACTTTTATTACCTTAAATGTGGATTGTGAAACTCAGTCATATTATATAGAGAACTTCATTGAAATTATTGAATGGAACCTGTAATATGTAATATAAAAGGAGTGCTGTATGTAGTTACTTTAGAAATACAGGTACAATTAGGTAAGGGTTATTCCTGCTTTATCAGTGTAATTCAGGAAGATCTCTGCCCAGTCGTTCAGCTGGCTGTGAGCTGACTGTAGTTTAGAATAACAGTTAAATCAGAGCAGCAGTGGAGTTGGTGTTTCCTAGCCAGAAGGGTAAGAAAGAAACTCAGTGTTCTGGGTTGGGGAGCTCCTGGGCTTCTATAGCTATGACACACAAAATAGATAGCAGAGAACATATGCAGCCAGAGTTCTGTAGACAGTGTTATTTTTAAGGTGTGTTTTGGTTTTGGTTTTTTTTTTTTGGTTATTTTATTTGAGTTTTGCTTTTTATCCATGTGGCATATTGATAATGCTTCAAGTTTATTTATGCAATTTGGGAAACTCATTTTACCATTATGAGTAATAGCCATAAAAATAAATTCAACTGCTCTTGAACAATTCTAGAAGTTGTTTCACTGGGTTTATAAGTAATTTCTGTTTGGGTCTCAGGCACTTTTTAATACTTACTTACCATTTTTTCCTTTTTGGAGGATTGGATAGCTTTGGTCAAAGCTGCTGCTGCAGCAGCAGCCAAGAACAAAGCAGGAACCAAACCTAGAACCAGCGCAAACAGCAATAAAGATAAAGAGGACAGAAAATGGCTAAAAGTTCCTTCAAAAAAGGAAGAAACCTCAACCTCTACAATCATGCAGGAGGTCCAAAAAAAGGAAGAGGAGCCAACATCTAGTGACACATTTGGTAAAAACAAATTCTGTGGAAGTTAAAATAGGTTTTTTAAAATAGGTACTGGAGTAGAATTCCTGTTGTTAATTTTGCAATTAAGTAATTACTAGTATTTCTGGAGGAAGAGATCTCCTTTGTTGTTATAATAATTTTATGATACTTAATGCTGATCAGTTCAGAAACAATTTTTATCAGATAAATCCAGTTTGGTCAGCATTTACTCCTTGTGCAAAGCTTCTAACTAGCTCTAACAAGATGAGAACATAGGATTTTTTTTAATTTATTGTACGCTTTGGTTCATATTCCTACGTCTTTTGTTACCTGTGAGAATTCCTGATCTTGTTCTAAGAAAAGGTCCAGTATGGATGATATAGCTGTATTCAGCAATGTTTGGAACTATTTCTGGATTAATAAGAATTTGTTCTTTTTAATAATCTTTAATACTAATTTCTCATAGCCCTGAGTAAAAACTGCAGATTTTGATGTAATCTGCATCTAATACTTCAATGTCTAATAATCTTCAGGATGTGTTGTGTTAGTTTTTAACAGAATTGTCAAGTTTCTTTACTGCAGGATTTTAATAGCAGCTCTGAAATAATTAAAATATTTGGCTGTTGTTACGTATTTATGAAATGTGAGTTTATTAGATTTCTTTTCTATTTAAAAGTAGGATTTCCTGTAGTGGATGTTCCAAAGATGGCCTTTGTGCAGGCAGAGAGCACGTTATCACACAAGAGGAAAAGTAATCTGGGCAACTCATTTCAGGCAAAGAGAGCTCGTCTTAACAAGATCACTGGTAAAATACTTTTTTGTTGTTGACATTTTTTCCTTTTTAATGCAGTGAAATATATGCTTACACATAAGGTACTGAAGCAGGTTGTTAAAAACACATTAATGAGGCAGATATTCACTACATTTTTTTTCTCTTGTTTGGAATTTTAGTGGATTCTATAACTGGTAATAAAATCTACCTTGTTCATAAATTCAGGGAATGGTCTCAGACTTGACTTGGTCTTTTTAGTTTTTTAGGAAGGTAGGCACCCTAAAGTGATTAATTTCTTGAGTATGTTTTAATTCCAGGTACACAATTTTCTCCATTATCAGGTGAATTTGAGGTTTGTACACCTTTTCAACGTGACTACATGCCACCTCAGTGGTATGTCAAAAACAAAATGTTTTGTCATAGTTTTTCAGAAATTAAAACTGTTCCTGAAATGAATTTGCAGCATGTATTTAAAAATATACCAGCCTAGCTACAAATTGAAGCAGTGAAGTATCTCAAACTTTGTTTCAGAGTCCAAGGCATTCATTTTCTACATTTGTTACTCAAAGGTCAAAGGTTCTAATGAAAAACAAACTTCTATAGCTGTTGTTTATATATATATATATA